GGGGGGGGGGGGGGGGGAGGGGACTGCCCCAGACCCTGTGCTTTGGGGGGGCCCCCACAGCAGCCATCCTAACTGTTCTATGGACGGGCCTGTCCTCCCTACTGAGTTTAGCCTGTGAGACACAGGGTGGTTTGGGAGATTACTGGGGGGCAGTGGGATCCACTGCAAGCAGAGTGACACAGCAACCTGCTTCACCCAGCCATCTCCCAGCAGTGGCGAAGTAGAGCAACCTACTTAGGAGACAGCAGTGGTGTGGAGTAGGCTGCTGGGTCACTTCACATAGTTCCACTGCTGTGGTGAGTGTGGTGACCTGACTAGGGTTGTTAAATATCAGTTAATTGAAGAGTCAGTTAACCTCATGAATTCTTATCAGTTAGTCGACTATTCTGTAGTCCCCGGGCAGCCCGTCTGGGGGGGGAGGGAGGGGTCTGAGCTCTTGGACCCACCATGAGCTGGAACTGAGCTGCTCTCCCTGCCCACCTGGCTCCAAATAACACTTTCAATGCAGAGCTGCAGCGGGGTAGGTCCAGGTCCTAGTGCAAGCCTGGACTGAGCTGGGCTGCTGGCCAGCCTGCTAAAAATTTTACTGGCAAGGCGTGCGGGGAATGCGTGTAGTCTATAGCAAAAACGTATAGGTTAATGCTAATCGGTTTATCAGTTAATTGATTATACTATTACATCCCTAGGCCTGACCCCTGCTGCTGCCCCATGCCAGGTTCCCTAGTAATTCCCCAGGTCACATAGCTTGGAGGGGACTTTGGTGAAGGGCTGGCAATGGGGGCAGGAGAGGGTGGGAAGATGGGGCAGGGGTGGATTTGGGGGAAGGCATGGGGCAGGAAGAGATGGAGCAGCAGGGCCTGCTGTACCTCCCTGTATCCTAGGCCTGTTCCCCACTAGGGATGGTCTTGCTGGTGAGCCAGGAGTGGGGTGAGGAGCCCACAAGGTCAGTGAACAAGTTTACCCAAGGTGTCATTTTCTCTAAGGCTGGTCCTGAGCATCACACTATCTTGCCATCTTAGTAAGGGAAGGGAATAAGGGAAATTGAGGGGGTGGTGAAAGGCCTTTGTTAAGCTATTTAGTTTAAAATGCTTTAACTGCTTTTCCATGACACCCATACAAATGGCAGGGTGGGCAGGCTGCAGCCATTCAGAAGCAAATACCTGGTGGCAGTGGGACGCACAGTCATCGTGGCCCTGGGGCAAGGTGTGGGGGAGCTGGCTCCGTGTCCTGAAAGGGGTGGGGCCAAAGGCAGACAGCCTGTAGTGCCACCTGGACAGCAGAGTGCTGGGGCTCCTGCTGCAACTACAGTGGTAGTGACCAGACACCCCAGGCCCCGGTGGGATTGCCAGGTGTCTGGTATTGAACCGGACAGTTCAGTATTTTCGCCTCCTGTCTGGTAAACAAATTCAGAAAATACCAGACACCTAAAATGTCCGGTACTTTCTGATTTATTTCCTAGCCAGGAGGCAAAAATCCCTGGCTGTCCAGCTCAATATGGAGGTAGCCTGGCAACCCTAGTGCTTACTGGATTCCACGGGGGAGCTGTCAGGCCTTGCGCAGAGAGGCAAGATGGCAGGCGGCTGAAGGCTGCCTATTAGAACCAAAAAGCCTCACCACATGTTTTTTAAAGGGGCCACATGGTTGTTTGTTTTGTTTTGTTTGTTTTGTTTTTTTGCTTAACTCTTGGAGTCCTTTTTATTTGTTTGTTTGCTTGTTTTGTTCGGTATTTTTTCAGAAACCATCTGGCAACCCTAGGCCCGGGGCAATTGCCCCTTTTTCCCCATTGGTGGGCATGCCTGGTGGTGAAGGAGCAGTGTTAGCACAATCCCTATGAGACTTTTCAGTCTCTGAATAATAATAATCTGAGTCACTGATATAGTCTGTATCTTCTGTGTTAAGAAATGTGTGTTTTTGCCCATCCATGGGCTAATGTATGCATTAGCTATTCCCCTGTAAAAACATAGTGGAAATATGGCTCTTTGGTTTCTCCAAAAGGCAACTAATGCAAAGGAGTAACAGGATAATTCATCTTAGAAAATTCTTGACTTTGGCAGTGAAGATCGGTAAAGAACAAAAACGTCACAATCTGTAGTATACATAAAAGTCTATGGCATTAAAAGTATAAACAATTAAATAGAAAACCATCATTTACATTCCTAACAAATGAAGTTATAGAGTGAAATGTGCATGTCAGTGTTTGCACAATGAGGAGTTATATATAGCAACAATGATTTGTAATACATTTTCAATACAAAAGGAGGGGGAAAAAATCACGTATTACTGGAAGTCCAAAATAGTAATGAATGTTACAGCCATTTAAGATGTATGGATTCTCAGGGAAAGATAACAGCAAAATTAACTAGTAAGTTAATGAGCACTAAAGGTTCAGAATCAAAAAGACAATTTCAGAATACAACTTCCCCATTGTATTTATTTTAATTTAATGACTTTTTGGAGTATAACATGATTTTTAAACAATAGTTGTCAATCTATCTTGGGGTTGTCAAGCTGTATTTACTCAACATTACAGTATAAATTTGCCCTTGAAAAGAATTACATACAAGATAAGATAATGCCTGTAGGGTCATATTTTAAAAAAAAGTTATTTAGGCAACTAGTGATATTTTCAAAAACAGCTCGGTGCTTTCACCCATTGAAAATCTGCCTGTGGTGAATATTTGGGAATCAGATTCTACGTACAACTGGCGACATGAAAAGCACCAGGATGCTAGATAGAGATAAAAAAGAACGGTAGAAAAAGGCCATTGGTGGATCAAAGGCATCTAAAGAAGTTTTGATGCCAATCAGGAAATCAGCTGTTAGGTCATATGATCCCAAAGAATAAATTAGTGTATACAACCAAAAACAAAAATTAAGAATTCAGAAGTGCTATACATCACTTAATAAACACGACATCCATCTGCACAACATTAACAAAGATAACTGATGAAGTAATAAAAATAACCCCTTAAAAAGGCAATAATTTAAAATAGGTGACAGTCCATTTACAGTGGCAGACAAGGAAACGTTGTCCTATTCAGGCAAACTGAACAGCAAAAAAGACAAGTTTGTGAACCGCTATGAGGCTTTGTACAGACATAGACTGTGATATGGATTATTTTAAACACTAAAACAACCTGACGCTCTCTTTTGGAAGGTGGGGTCTGTAAAACTATTTTACTGACTCAAACCTCCTTTGGCAGCTCAGTGTGTTATTTCTGACAGAGAAGAGTTGCCTTGCCTAGGCATTGGCTTGCATGGTGTCTTTAAGAACCTAGCCCTGGGAAATGGGTGCGTACCATCCTCTGCTCCCCCCCAAAATGCTGTTTTTGCACCCATTGCAGGTGGCTCATTCCATCTGGGGTAACTTTTCTCCTCTACCCCTTATATCGGGTTTGTCCCCTCTGCCGCTGTCTGGCAGCATCCCAGGCCATTTCTTAATGTCAGCTCCTAGCTGCTGCTCCAGATTTTTTCCCTCCACCCCTCTCTTTTTCTGCCTCCAGCTTTTTGATCTTCCTGTGCATTCAGTCCCTCCCTCCCTCTGCAGCTCTGCTCACCCTTCCCTTCTGATTTGCCCCTTCTTACTCTCTTGAGCAGCAAGGAGCAGATCTTCATCACAAGGGAGGGCAGTAGTTTCATCAGAGGTTCCTGACCAGCCCCCGTTCAGATCAGCCTGCTGCATGTCAGCCAAGCCCCTGGTTCAAATGGGCAGCAGTTTGTAATTGTACAGCTGCCTAGCTGGGGAATGGGCCTCGGGGCCTGTCAGTGCCAAGGTCCCAGTGTGCACATCCCCAGCTCTGCTCTGGAGACCCCAGGGTGTGAGCAGCAAGATCAGCTTGTGCAGAGTCAATACCAGACTGTTTTTGGGGTGCAGGGCCGGGCCCCCAATGGGAGGAGACAACTATCCTTCCCCTTGTCTCAGATCTAGCCTGCACCCCTTGCCAAGCTCAGGAAATGTACACAGCCTGGGTATGGTACAGCAGTCTGTTTATTAGGGGAAAGGACACAGCTCCATGAAGTGCAGATGGTTCTCACATAGGCAGCATGGGGCTCAACATGCTGAGCCAGGTGCCTTCCGTCCCCCCTACTCAAAAGCAGGATTCTAGCAGCTGGCACAAGTGGCATGGTGCTGCCCAGGCACCATGGATGCCCACCAGGCATGGCCATTCCCAGGGGTGTTTGTCTCACACGTCCTGCTTGTTGCCCTATCCATCCCAACATCTGCAAAGACAACAGGTCTGAGAGACAGAGCGAGCGAGCCCTGCCCTGTCATAGTAGGGCACTGTGCAAGCCCTAATTTCCTTATGGGAAGTAGCAGCATGATGCTCTGGCTAATTAGTGAGTGAGCACACACAGCGGTGGCCCAGCCTGGCAGAATTATAAGAGGAAAACCCAATTGCAATACAGCAAGGATGTTTGGTTTTGTTCTTCAGGCTTGTCACTAACAGCTGGTTTGCTCTCTGTACACCTCCTGTATTGCAGAGCCAGTGGCATGACGTATCTGTCTCTGGGGTCTGAGAGGCCATTACAGGCACGTGGGCAGATCAGTACATATACACCAAATGCTGGCTCTCCCCTGCCTGTTTGAAGGGAGGAGAGTTCTTAGGAGAAAGAAGCACGATTCTGACAGATTCAACTTTCATGCAGTTATAACCCCTGCTCAGAAATTAGAGACTAGAAACCTGGAGGGCCAGATGGGGCCAAGCTACAGCCTGTGCTAGCTGGAAAGGTCTGAGAACTCCTAGATTGAGTTAGGGCTGGAGAAGGATTTGTTCTGCCAAGAAGTGGGCTACAAGGACCCCAGGTAGCTTGAGTGCAAAGCATACAGTTTCAGCAGGGCTGTCTTGGCCAAAGGTATTTGACTACAGGGTCCCCCAAAGCAATTTACAGCACCTGGTGGGCATTCATCCCCGAAAGCCAACTTCAAACCCATCCCAAATCTGAGCTGACATTTCATGGCGTGTTGTCTCAGCAGAGGGCGCTAGATCATTAGGGAGATGATGGCTGCCTAGCCCGAAGTGACACCTGCCCTTCAGTCAGGCAGACACACAGACTTGAAGGAGACAGAGGGAGCAGCCTGCAGGTCAGAGAAATGCTGAGAGATGCCAGGCCCCAAAATGCAGTGGCTCTGGTTGCTGTTTCAAGGAACATAACCATCCAGTTCCCTTTCTTCCTACACCTTTGGAGACAAGACCCCACCTTCAACCAAACTGCTGTGAAGCAAAAAATAAGCACACATCACAGTACAGCATTAAGCATGGTCAAGAGATCAGAAATATTCATTAGCAGCCTCAGCATCCCACCATGGCTCAGAGACTTCCTAAGGGCCAGGCCAAGGTTACTGTTGGGCAGGGGATGGGAGTCTCCCCAAAACTGGCTGTTTGTGAAGAAACGTAGGGGTTATCCAAGTGCACCATCTTCTGTCCACTGGGCATTGAATGGGGCAATACCCTGCCTTGATAGTAAGACAACTGAGACTAGCCTGAAGGACATGGGAGTCAATATTAACTCTGCTGCAGCCTAACCTACTCTACTTGGCCTGACTATAAACCAGCTTGAGCTCTTGTGTATGTAGATGCACGGTACATTCAAAGTGGGTGAAGACAAGCAAGCAATGCTGCTCCCTTCCTTCATGTATTTCTTTAGTGCTGACGGGAACTGGGGATGGGTGATTTACAACTAACAAACAGTTCAGGAAGGAACATACCATTGGTTTGGAGCCTGGCTCCTTTGCCTGCCGTTGCTATTTGTGTGATAACTAGCTCCACCGTAATTAATACAAATACCCTGAGGCAGTGTGTTCTACAGGTTCTGTTGTGCTGAAAGCTTAG